TGAGGTAGATCAGTGGCCACGGCCTAAAGACGACTAATGGGGAGGCCCAAGAAGCCACTAACTCGCCAAGATACAAGAGAGATTGCCCTACATCTGTCACCCCCTCCAAGGCTCAGGGACCTTAGCAGAAGATGGACGGGAAGATTGTAAGAGTGGAGGAAAGGAGTGGAGTGTCTCCCAATTGGTTAGTTCCTCCAGGGGGCGGGTCCTGCCACGGAGTGTGGACTACTGGGGGGCTGCTGGGAGCCATCTTGGAGTGGAAGCCATGAGCCACGGGTAGCGTGCAAACGTGCAGCCGCGCAGCAGCTCAGGGACAGATGGATTGACTCTTATGGACCTGGGGCAAGGTCACTGGCCCTGGAGGTGTGAGCGAATGCTAGCGGTGACTATGGGCATGGCGTGGTCTGATATGGTGGGCTCTGAGCCATGGGGCTAGGCACTGGGTACTCATTCCTTTGTAAGTTAATAAATGCACATAAAGGTATGTTATATGGTTTGCTTGATAGTGCAGGAGACCCAGAGAGAACTCGAGTGGCACCCTGTCACACTTTCCCAGCCGCTGCTGCTAAAAATATTTTTCTGGCAGTTTTTTAGTTGAGAGAATTGGTCAGCAACTTGGTAATCTTTGTCGAAAGCAAAACCTGACCTTGGTGCTCCATCATTTCACTTCTTTGAGCCTCGATTTTCTTTTTCTTTTCCACCAAATTCCCAGTATTTATTACTCTGTGCTTGACAATTTTATGTTAAGTTCATCTGTTGTTTCATTAACCAATCTTCCAGTAGCTGCTGTTCTTGGGACTTCCCACAGTCCTCCTCCATGTGCACCCACTCTCTCCTGGGTCCCTGCCAGGATTTCTCAGCTGAGGTGGCTCCAGGACTTCAGCTTCCTGGTTCTGGATGGGTTCATCTGTATGAGTGAAGGAATCCCAGAATCCTGTGTTTAGTTCTACATTGGTCCCAGGGAGGCACCTGCTCAGTCTCAGGTGGACAGACACACAGGCCTAAGGAAAAAGTGGACACTTGCCCTCAGGGCCAGTGGCAGCATGTCCTGATTTCCCTTCAAGGTAACAGCATGAGAGAGTCCTCTCAACACCCCAGTTAAGGAGACACAAAGCTTGAGAGCAAAGTGCCATGGCTCCACTGTGGAAATCACTTTTCTGAACAAATGGAATCTTACCTAACTTCATAGCAAAAGTTAATCTGTGTTTTGAGATCATGTAACACTATCTCAGCTTCTTTGTAAATGTAAACAAGCTTACTAGGCCTTAGGCTCCTTTTGTAACCTAAACATATAGCTTTAATTCCTCCTGACCCTCCCTTGCTCTTGACCTAGCACAATGTGTGTGTGTTATGAAAATATCAAATACTGAAAGCAACAACTATTTGAATATTCCTTGGAAGCAATGGATTGTCCATTTATGTTGTAAACAACAGATGGGGTTAGATTGACAACATCTGTTGGTGGTTGTGTGTGCTGCTGTGGGTCAGTAGGGGTCAGATAGGGAAGATCCTTTGATAAGACAGATCCCCCAATATCATGCTGGATACACTGTCTCAATAAAGAGAGAGCAAAGCCTTTGTTCAGGAGCAGTTACGATAGAAATCTGAAGGATCAAGTTCTCAGAACAGATTGGGCCCACTCTTGGTTTGAATGGATGCTAAGAGTCAGGCTGTCTTTATTCTGGCATTTTGTGGTCCCTGCTCTCAGAAGACTATAGACAGCAATGACACATTCTCAGCTCCAGGTTCCTACTTATAAGGCAATCAGCAACACTGAACTCCAGTCTCACTTGAACCTGTGATTGATTATGGTTTAAGCTACTTTCAGAAGGAAGCATCTATGCAAAGTGCTGCCAATATATGACTGTGTCCATGTTTTCATGCCCACACATCACTAAACAGTCGTTAATCCACTATCTTAGTTTCTACCACACTCTGGGGTTAGAGTAACTTGCCATTTCATACCCACAAATTTGTTTCCTTGGTAGATCAGTAACACATTTTAAATAGAGTAGATCTGACATCAGCATCTCAAAAAATGAAGCAGCTAGTCCTGAGGCAGGCACAGTTAAATGCATTAATAGCTGGGTAGTACTCAGGAGGCTGAGGCATGAGGATGGCCAAGATTTTGAGAGTTTCAGTTTTCTCATGTACAAAATAATGATCCTAATAATAGTTATATCAGTATTATTCTGAGGATCAAATAGAAAACATTTTTATACCTGTATGGTACAAACACATAGTCTGTGTGTCCCCTAGGACTTTTATGCTCTTATGGGGAGATAACACATCTTAAAATGGCACCCTCAAATAGCTTATATCTGGCACCATTCAAGAGCTGCAACTGAGGGACTGAAAAGATGGCTCAGTGGTTAAGAACACTGGCTGCTCTTACAGAGGACCCAGGTTCAGTTCCCAGCACCCACATGGTGGCTAACCACCATCTGTAATTCCAGTTCCAGAGGATACGATGCCTTCTTCTGACCCCTGCCCACAGGCATTGCATGACACAGGTGCACTTACACACATGCAAGTAATACATTCATATACATAAAATAAAAATAAACAAATTTTTTCAAAAAGAACTGCAGCTGAGTCAGATGACACAGAAACTCAACCAGGTGGAACCAGTCAGTGGTGTGCATGGAGCTGAAGAAGGTGGAACACCTCAGCATTTCCAAGAAATTTCACTATAGGACAGAACATAATGTTATAGCTGTATTGAATGTTTGAGGGGTGGAATATAAAAACAGTCATATCCTCCAAAATTCTATTAAAACTGGCTCTGCAAGTTGCTTTTCTTTGCTCCTTTGATGAAACCTCTGTTCACTGCTTAGACTTTGTTTGCTCAAGTATTTAAACAATCCTTTAGCTTTTCTAGTCTGCCTCTCTCTCTGTCTCTCTCTGTCTCTCTCTTACTGTCTCTCTTTCTCTCTCTCTCTCTCTCTCACACACACACACACACACACACACACACACACACACTTTCTCATGTCAGTATATTAAAAGTTCAGTCTTAGGCTAGGGAATGTAGCTCAGTGTTAGAGCATTTTCCTAGAATGTGCGAGGCCTTGGGTTCCATCCAAAATACCACGAATGAAAGTTCCATCCTGTGTAATAAAAACATCAAATTTGGGGCTGGAGAGATGGCTCAGTGGTGAAGAGCACTGACTGCTCTTGCAGAGGACCCAGGTTCGATTCCCAGCACCCATATGGCGGCTACAAGCTGTCCTTAACTCCAGCTCCAGGGGAATCCGAAGTCCTCTTCTGACCTCTGCAACATTGCACAACACGGGTGCACTCACATACATGCAGGCAATACACTCGTACACATAAGATAAAAATAATAAATAAAATACATTTTTAAAAAATCAAATTTTAGGTTCTGAGCCCTTTTCCTCCTCTAGGACTGACAATGAGTTCCCTGGCTCCTTTCCTTGCACTCCCATCCTCACCCACTGGGATGCTCTGTCCCCTCCAGGACTGGGACCTGAAGCAGGAAAGGTCTTCATGGACTGAGTGTTCCGAGTTGGTGGCAGAGCTTCCTGCCCTTGCTAGGTGTTTAACACCAATTTACTCTTTGGGGCAGTTTGCAAGGCCTTCCATCTGGGCTTCCCAGGATCTCTTGATGCTGCTGTCTCCCTCTGATTGAGCTTTTAACTTCATTCCTGTCAGTGTCTGGGAATCTGGTGGTCAGCTCTCCTGGCGTCATTGCATCCCTCCAAATTCCCTTCCACAGGGTCAATCATTTGCTCATGCTGACATTCTTTATCTTGGAAAACAAGGTGTAAAAAGACCTTCCATAGTATCAGCCTCTTTCTGCTCAGGTATTAGTTGTTGCCTGGTGGCAAGCTATAGTATTTCTCTTCAGGAACTGAGAGCGCCCCCCCCCCCCGCCCGCATGGTTTCTTGGTCATATCCCCTTGGTGTTTACACCAACTGCAATGGTGGCCAAATATCCAATTAGACTCTCAGCCTGTCTATAGTCTCTCAGGCTGGAATCCACCCCCTCCCCCGTTTCTAAACACCCGGTTTACAAGCTCTGCTTTGGCTTTTTCCTCATCATAACATTCATTATCTGGGAGGCTCTGCTAAAATGGAGAGAGGAAAGGGTCCTCTCATGGCATCCATTGCACAGGCCTGAAAGGACAGCAGAGGCAATAGCAAACCAGTAGAAGAGCTGCTCCGCCTCGCCTGTGTCTAAGCCTGCGTCTTAGCGCCTTCATCCAGGGTCTCAAATGTCACAGGCTAGAGGGGGAAAGGTCAGAGCTGCCCTGGCAGGCAGCAACACGGAGTGAGGGGGCGGTGAAAGAAAAAGTGGGCAAAAGTCTGGGCTCCCAGGTGTACAAGGGTGGTGAGGACCTGATATCTGTGTGGGGGGGCCCAGAGTTACCGAATGAATGTTGGATTGTCGCCTTTAATAGGACACCGTCTTCTTCCCCCTTCAATTCCAAATTCCGCTTTCCCCAGTGTGCACCGCCACATGGTACTAGCTAACGCCCACAAGCATCGTGACGGCGTTGATAAAAGCCATATTATATGAAAATCTCTGTCGCGTGAAAGTCATCCAAACAGAAGCTCAGAATTAGGGAGGGCAGTGCCTGGTTTGCGGAGGACAGGGGAGTACAGGGGTGAACAAACGCTATCCCGCCTCATGCCGTCTGGGCCAGGGGGGTAGTGAGCGTCCACAGCCACACAGGTTCCCAAATGCACACCAAAGCAGATCAGGGCAGATCCGGGAAGACACTGGGCAGGGGCCTTTCCCACCCCTAGGGCGCAGCTCCCTTTCCCACCGTAGTGCAGCATCCCCGCCTGATGCTCCTCTGGGCAGCGTGGAACTCGTGGAGGGCTTTCCTTACAAGCGAGCATAGCGCACGGGTGCGGAATTATCGCTGGAGATCCACAGTGAGCGCAGGGAGAGGCTCGGCTGGGAAGCCGCCAGGCCCTGCAGTGCTCCCCGCGCCCCGCCTCCAGCTTCAGCCGAGGCCCCGCCCCCGCCAGCCCCTCCCGGAAGCGCCCTCCAAGCGAGTGCATGGAGCGCCAGCCGAGCGCCCCGGAGTCTGTTCTCGCCTCGGCAGCGCTCTTCGCCTGGGTACGTGGCTCCGCCCCCGGCCTCGGGGAGCAACTCCGGGGCGCGGAGACCCGGGAGCTCCCGGCTTCGGCGTGGGCGGCCGGGGAGCCGGGAGGCCGAGGCCCAGCCGTCTGGGTCGGAGCAGGATTTCCTGGGCTGGGGCTGGGGCGCCGAGGGGGTGCGGGGGAGGATGGGGAGCGGGGGGAGGGTCTTCCCGGGATCTTAGCTGTGCGCGGAGGACCCGGGGGATGGAGGCGTTCTGGGAGGACCCTTCCTCCAGGGCATGGCGTCTGCTTGGCATGCGCTGCCGGCCGGCGAGCTCCTGGGAGGACGGCGGAGAAGTGCTCGTCTGGTCCGGAGCCCGTGGGGCCACCTGTCACCCCGCCTTCCGGTGCTTGGAAGACCGGGGCCCTTCCCGAGCGCTGCCACCCTGGGGCGCATCCTCTGGATGTGAGGCCTGTGCTGAGGGGCGCGAGGCACAGACCCTGCGTGCTGGCTGATACTCTGCTGCCACCGGATCTGGCCTGCGTGGGGGGGGGGCGTGGGAGTCCGGGCTGGCGTGGATTGGACGCGAGCTTTGAGAGAGCTGGGGTCGTGGCTCCGTGTTACTGGGGGAGCGGGGGCTTTGTGCACAGGAACGAGGGGGCTTGCGTGGGAGCCAGCAGGTGTTGGGTCTGATGGGTCTCAGAATCAAGCACCGTAACTGTAATGAAATGTATGATTTGCTAACGTCAGTCTCCTTGGTTGCTGCGTAAGCGTTGCGAGGGTGGGCTCTGAGCCTGTGGCGCTCACATTGTCTGCTGGTGACTGGCGTGGTGTAGATCCCCGGCAAGTACTTGTTGACTGAAGAATGAGTGAATGAATGAGAACCTGTGTGCACAGCCATGTACTTATGTTTGGAGATACACAGATGTCCAGTTCCAAGATTTCTGCCGAAATCAGCACTTACAGACTAATTTAAATAAAAGTAATATCAGCACACACCCTGCACTTGTTGAGTGTAATGCTGAGTCTGGCAGAAGGGAGCGCGTGTGGTGGACACCCCACGTCCCCCCACCCCCCAGGTTGAGACTGGAGTCTTTCTGGACTGAGGGAACATGTCTGGCAGGAAAAGCCTTGCAGATGTGGCCTTGAATGTATTGAGACAGAAGTAAGAGTTAAACTTTACCCTCCCGAGGTCTGCTGGGCTAGTCTTGCCACCGCATAACCTGCTGGCCTGTATTAGATGGCTTGGGTTGCCATGACAAAGTACCACAGAGAGGGAGCTTAAACAATAGAAATTTATTTTCTCTCGGTTCTGGAGGCTGCAAGTCCAAGATAAAGGTGTGGCGACTGTGGTTTCTCTGAGGCCTCTGGTGGCTGTTTCTGTATTTGTTAGCAACCTTGGTGGCTCTCAGGAAGAGACCAGACATACTGGATTAGGGCCTCACCTTTATCGTCCATCATTTAACCTTAATTACCTCTTTAAAGGCCATGTCTTCAAATACAGTCATAGTCTGATGTGCCAGAGCTTAGGACTTTGATATATGAATTTTGGGGGAGCAGAGTTCAGTCTGTGTGTGTGTGTGTGTGTGTGTGTGTGTGTGTGTGTGTTTGCATGCATATGTGTGTGTATGGTGTGTCTGGATCGTACATAAAGACAGTATACACAGTTTTAATAGGGTCTATTTTCTTTCATGTGGCTGTATCCTGGATTTAGGGACTCTTACATTATAAAGATTGGTACATAGCCTGGACCTAGGAATACTCTTGCCCCGCTTCTGAAAACCTTGTGATGCCACCGACATCTCAGAGCCAGTGCACATGCACTGTGCAGTGTTTCATTTGAATCTTAAGGGTGGGGATTTGTACTGTCTGATGTCCACATCCCTGGCCAGCGCAGTTTCAGGAGAATAGCTGTGAGCCAGACTTAAGTCCCTTCCCTCATGGTGTTGGCATTCTAGTAGGGAGACAGTCAGGTAAACAATACATATTGTGATGCCACAGAGTAAGAGGAAGGCAGGTGGATAAAGTGATGGGGCTGAGTAATATTCTAGAATCACACAGCTTAACCTCTGGGCTGATTCACCATACATCCTTATCTTCTTATGGACATAAAGGTCTAATGAAAGAAAGAGGCATCTAACTTGTTACCTATCCAGCTATGTGACTCTGGAGTGTTGCTTAGCCTCCCCAAGCCTCAGTTTCCTCATCTGTAAAATGAGAGCAGTGATGCCCTTCTTAATTGTGAGCATTAAAAGTGACTGTCCCATACTAGGGGAGCACTGGTAACTGGACCTCCCTGTGCCCCGGCTGTAGTTTATTCCTCTGTCTTGGAGTGGTGCAGCCCAGGATGGTGGGAAATACACAAGAGGGAGGAGGATTTTTCCAATGAATGTTCTGCATTCATGTCTTGCAGTTATTTTAAATCACTTGTTTTTATCCAGGTGTCCTCAAAAACAGCTTTTTAAAGGCTTCTCCATGTCCTCCTGGCTTGGGAATAGGTACTAAAAGAATTTTAAGAATTTCTGACGTAAACTTACTGGGAATAAGGCTACTTACAGTCTCTGTTTGCTATGCCAAGTCTTATTTGTAATCTGTTTTTTGTTCTTGTTGTTTGTTTTTTTTGGAGACGGGTCTCCCTGTAGCCATGGCTGGCCTGGAGCTCGATATATAGACCAAGCTGGCCTCAATCTTGCAAGATCCACCTGCCTCTGATGGCTGAGTGGTGAGATTTAAGGTGTGTGCCACCTTGCCTGGCCGTACTTATTTCTTTTGGTGCAGAAATGTTACTGTTTTACTTACAGGGTGTTGCTCTTGTCCTTGCAGCAGTCTGTATGAATGAATTGCTTTCCCTCCCAAAATCTATAAAATTCTGAGTTTGAAGTACATTTAACAGCAAAGATTTCAGATTCGAGATTGAACCTAGGAAATTCCGCATGCTAGACAGGTGTTCTATTTCTCAGCGATACCACATACCTGTAGTAAAGAGTTGGATAGTGTTGTAACCACAATATATCGTCTACAGGGGAGATTTGAATCTTGGAATTGCAAAGCCTTGTACTTGGAAAGGCTGTTTAGAGAGCTCTGCCAATACGGTTTGCTGGATAAACGAAATGATGCTTCTTGTTAGAGGCGTGTAACAGCCTTAGATAACTGAATAAACACAGAAAATCATTGCTGGTTTCCCAGTGAGGATGTAGGGAGGTGGGGCAAAACCTAATTCCAGAATGGTTGCTGCTGCCCTGTCCCCCATTTGCCTCTCATTTTTCTTTCCTAAACCTCTCGTTAATTAGCTTTTATCAGGAGGAATCCCTGGGCTGATTCCCAAAGGCAGTTTATGGGATTTGACGTGGTTAGTTTTTATTGTCAATCTGACACAACCTACAGTCACCTGGGAAGAACTGAAAAATTGCCTCAATCACATTGGCCTGTGGCCATATCTGTGAGAGATTTCTTGATCAGTGATTGATATGGAGGGCCCAGCCCACCGGTAGGCACCCTGCTCAGGCAGGTGGGCCTGGGCTGTATAAGAAAGCTAGCCGAGCAGGCCACAGGGCTAGGCAGTAAGCAGTGCTCCTCCATGATTCCTGCGTTGGCTCCTGCCCTGACTTCCCTCACTGTGGACCTGGAAATAAATAAATCTTTCCTCCCCTAAGTTGCATTTGGTCATTTTTAAAAAAATCACAGCAACAACAACAACAACAAAAAACCAGGACATGGTACATTGACAGGAAAAAGGTGAGGCCTGTGGTTGGCTAAGTTGTGGATGCAAAATATTCCTCTGAAACAGAAGTGGTAGTGCTCATGGGATGGGGTGGGCTTCCTGGTGTGGGTTGTGTTTAACAGCATCCTAAGAACAAGTATATGAACGGTCGCTGCCGTGGCTCTGGGAATTGTTGGATGGGGGAGACCTTTAGGTAATAGATGCTGACATCTGGGCTCTCACTTTTTTTTTTTTCCATCTTTGGTTTATTTCATCCCCAGGGTGCAAATAGCTATGGGCAACTTGGCCTTGGTCATAAGGAAGATGTGCTGCTGCCCCAGCCACTGGCTGACTTCTGTAATCCTGGGAGTATCAAGAGCCTTACAGGAGGAGGGGGCCACTCTGCAGCTGTCACAGGTAATTTCCTCCGAAAGGATAGCCACTCATTTTTGTATTGTGATGTTTTCCACTTGGATGTTATCTTGCCATCTTTAAAGGTATTTCTCAGAGCAACATTTAATATTATTTACTTTTAATTTTTATTATTTTTAAGAGAGTGAGTGTGTGTGTGTGTGTGTGTGTGTGTGTGTGTACCTAGTGTAGAAGTCGGAGGAAGCCAGAGGTATTGGATTCTCCTGGAACGCGAGTTGTAGGTGGTTGTGAGCCATCTGATGTGGGTGCTGGAAATTGAAGCCAGATTACTATTAGAGAATCCTAGATTGTCAGAATTTTGGAGATATGTGAGTCCCCGTCCCCTCCCTTTCCCCTTCCCTTTTTTTCTCCCTCTCCTTTCCCTCCTCCAAATTCACAAGGCAAATTGGTGTTAGAACTTCAGTCATCAGTATTACTGTTACATTATATTACATCTGAGTTTAAAGTCTTTGTTATTAGATGGAATACTCCTTGAGATCCAGAACCTGGTCTTTATATTTTTCCCCTTCCAGTACCCAGGAACTACATGTACATCCGCATAGGAAAGGACTGCATGTTGCATCTGGTTAAGAATGTGGGCTCTAGCCAGGCCTGGTGGCGCACACCTTTAATCCCAGCACTTGGGAGACAGAGGCAGGCGGATCTTTGTGAGCTCAAGGCCAGCCTGGTCTCCTCTTTTTTTTTTTTTTTTTTTTTTTTTTTTAAAAAAAAAAAAAAAAAAAAAAAAAAAAAAAAAGAGCTCTGGACTCAAACTCCCTCGGTTAAGGGGCCAGTAATTAGTTATGTGGCTTTGACAAATAATCCTTATGTCTCAGTGTTTTAGTTTCATTCCTGTTGCTGTGATAAAATACCCTGAGTAAAAGCAGCTGAGAGAGAAAGGGGTTACTTGACTTATAAGTCTACTGTGGGGAAGTCAAGCAGGAACTTACAGCATCACATCACATCTATATCAAAGAGAGAAATAAAGGCATCCTTGTTTGCTTGCTGACATGATCAGTGGCTTCCGTTGTCAACTTGATATACCTGGGAAGAGGGAACCGAGATTGGAGAATTGTGTCTTATCAGGTTGGCCCGTGTCTGTGTCTCTGGGGGGTTTTCTTAATTATTGAGTGATGTGGGAGGGGGGCAGCCTTGAGCTGTGGATGGTGCCACCCTTGGGCTGATGGTCCTGGATTGTGTAAGAAAGCAGGCTGAGCACAGACCAGGGGAGCAAGCCAGTAAGCAGCGTTCCTCCATGGCCTGTGCTCCAGCTCCTGCTTCCACGTTCCTGTTCTGGCTTCTCTCACGGATGAACTATGGTTGAGATGTATAAGCCAAATAAACCCTTTCCTCCCAAAGTTGGTTTTGGTCAGTCTTATCACAGCAATAGAAAGCTAAGTAGGATGTTTGCTGTTCATGCTCGGCTAACTTTCTTCATTCTTAACAGTTCAGGGCCCATCCCATGAAATGGTGCTGCCCACGGTCAGAGTGGGCCTTTCTACCTCCATTAATAATTAAGATAATCCCACAGTCATGCCCACAGGCTGACCTAATCTAGATAATTCCTCATTAAGACTCTTCTAGATGATTCCAGGTTGTGTCAAATTGTTCTGTCTTTTCTTTTGCTGCAACAAACACCCTGACCAAAAGCAGCTTGGGGAGGAAAGCATTGATTCATGTACAGATTGCTGTCCGTCATCATGGACGCCAAGGCAGGCAGTGAAGGAAGGAGCTTGAAGTGAAAAACACAGAGGCACGCTGCTTACTGGCGTGCTCAGTGGGCTTGCTTACACAGCCCAGGCCCACCTGCCTGGAATGGTACTGCCCACAGTGGGCTGGGTCCTCCCACATCAGTCATCAAGACAGTTCCCTACGGACAGGCCCATAGTCCAGTCTGAGGGAAGCAATTTTTCAATTGATAGTCCCTCTTCCCAGGCGTCTGTAGTTTGTGACAAGTTGACGGTTCAGACTGGCCTGCATACTCAGTTTCCTCATCTGTGCTGTGGTAAGGAGAGTCAGGTGTTCTCAGGGCTACATTAGGCCTTTTATGCATCTTAATTGCTCCTGTCTTCATGAACCCCTCCCTTCCTTTAGAAAGAAATGCTAAAAATTACTTTTACAACCATACTGGTATAAAGGATAGATTTTATATTATATATGAATTATTATTAAATTTAAAAATCATTTTAAAATTGTTTAAAATTAAGTCATGCTCATGGACTTCTGAGAGTATTTTGGACCCTAGACACTGTACCCCATATGTCCAGCTCTTAGGACAGTTCTTGGCTCATTCTGGGTGTTGAATCACTGTTGATTTTCTTGTTACAGAGGCAGCCCCATTTGTTGATGTACTGGCCCCTGGATGTTGGGATTTGAGACCGTTAACTTGATGTTTTTGGTTCTAGAACTATTATCATGCATTGGTTGTTGACATATGGTTGGGTGAGATGTTGTTTGTCTGTGACTCCAGATACCTGGTGATAACTTTTCCTGGCTTTGGCAACTGTGACCTCCTGTACTGTCACTGGAACCTTTCTGTTTTGCAGATGGAGGAGGCCTTTTTGTTTGTGGCCTGAATAAAGATGGTCAGTTGGGGCTTGGTCACACAGAAGATGTTCTGTGTTTCACTGTCTGCAAGCCTCTCCTGGGTTGTCCCATCCGACAGGTGGCCTGTGGCTGGGATTTTACCATCATGCTCACAGGTAAGTTCACTGATGGTGTTTATCACCACCAAGGCTTTGTGCAAAAGCTGTAGTGTGGTGGGGACTTCCCATTAAATGAAAGACTGTGCTTTTTTAAAAAAATTTTTTATTTTATGTGTATGTGTGTATTGCCTGCATGTAGGTAAGTGCACCTATGTCATGTAGTGCCTGTGGAGATCAGAAGAGGCTGTTGGATCCCCTGGGACTGGAGTTATAGACAGTTGTTAGCTGCCATGTGGATGTCGGGATTCGAACCTGGGTCTTCTGCAAGAACAACCAGTGTTCTTAACTGCTGAGCCATCTCTCCAGCCCCGAAAGCTTATGCTTTTAACAACACAAGCATTCTCTCTGGCCATGTAGGGACATTGCAGAGCACTTTTTACAAGGAGAGTTATAACTATAAAAGAGATCAGACTGGGATATATTTGCCAGAGACTGAGGGATAGTCTAGATTACTCTGGGTGACTGTTTCTTGTCCCAGAAGTTCATGAGAGCTGTGTATTTGGTCTAGCTCACTGGGAGGGAAGCGTTATTATGGGTCATGTGCTAGGAAGTATGAGGAGGTACAGATTGCACAGCAGTGGGGGCAGCTTTTTTTTTTTTTTTTTACCATGAGGGACTTTTGGGGTCGCAGTGTTGACGATCAAACTCAGGTTCTCAAATGTGCTAGGCAAGGGCTCTGCCACTGAGTTATTTCCCTGTCTCCCCTTAGAACCATGGTTGGCATGAAGGTTTTGGTCTCTGAAGGCAGGTAGCAGAATGGGGTGGAGGGATGTGGTTAAAGGGTTGCCGGAACAATGCTCTTGGGAGCAGCTGGTGGGAGTTACATGGCCAGCTAATTTCTCCTTCAGCTTTGTCCTTTCTAGCTGACCATTCTGGATTTAAAGGACAGCTTTAGTTTCTTCTTTTTTTTTTTTTTTTAGAATATTTTATTTATTATTTTTTTTTTATGTGTGTGCATGTATTGCCTGCATGTAGGTAAGTGCACCCATGCGTGCAATGCCTGCAGAGGACAGAAGAGGCTGTCAGATCCCTTGGAACTGGAGTACGGACAGTTGTTAGCTGCCATGTGGGTCCTGGATTCGAACCCGGATCTTCTGCAAGAACAGTTAGTGTTCTTAACTGCTGAGCCATCTCTCCAGCCCCATCTTTAGTTTCTTACATAAGTCCTGAGTTTTTAAATTTGTGCCTCCTCTAATTGTTCTTCCTCTGTTGCCCTGTGTCGCATTTCCCACACTCCCTGTACTTTTCTTTGTAGCAATACTGAACAGTTCCTGCTCTTCTCTCTGCCTGGAATCACCCTGCTGTCCATCTCATGAACTCTTACGTTGTATTTTAAATAGTTACCACCTATCATCAGTGAGGTGCTTACTGTGGGCCTATGTTAGGGTTGCACGAGGCAGAAGAGCACTGTTTCCCATCCTATTTGGAGCCAGGTGTGAGGAAGGCACAGAGCAGCCAGAGTTGGAGATCGGACTTAAGATTTTTTATAGATAAAGATTAGGTTGGAGGACAGGGTTAATAATAAAGCCATTATTAACATTACTCTGGTCCAAAGTTACCATCAAACTCTAGACCTTCACACAAGGGAAACCTTTACTGTGCCGGCCCTATTATGTCCTGTCCCTTTCCCCAAACTCATCAGTTGGCTGCATGGAGGAGGGGCAGGGAGGAAGGCCTGGAGTGTTAAGATGCAATACAGAGTCTGTTGCATGGAAACATGGGAAGTGGGGAATGAGTATCCTCTCACCCCAACACCATGTTAAATGCTAAATGCTCTGCACAGGTGATCTGCCATTAAGACATGGTGCGGTAGATACTCTGTGTGGAATGCTTAGTTTGGTGCCTTGTGCTTTCATCCCTGCAGGGATGAAAGGAAGGAAGCGACCACAAGGCTTTGAGGCTCAGGATCTCTGCTACCTCCTCATCCCATTACACCCCTCAGCATTTACCTGTTGGTCACAGATGTCTTACTTCTTAGATTTATAACCTCAGTGCTTGTATTTTGCAGAAAAAGGCCAAGTTCTATCATGTGGATCCAATGCCTTTGGACAGTTAGGAGTTCCGAATGGGCCTCGAAGATGTGTGGTCCCCCAGGTTGTTGAGGTGAGGACATCTCAGTTTTAGCTTGTCCTGTCCTGCTCGATTTCCCTATCCACAATAAAAGGCCAGCCAGGTTGTAGAGTTTGAATTGAAGATAGGTCCTTCTGGGAGAAATCAATTTGAGGATATCAGTGTTAGGCATAGAAACCTGTTACCATATGATAGGTAAAAGTAGGTGATGGATGAATCTGGTTGATTGGGAGAAAGCACCAGGACACAGATAAAACTCCAGCGGAACAGAGTTTATTAGCAAAGGAACACATGGGACAGATTCCCTTCCGGGCAGGGAAAATGTCTGCCCGGGTCGTGAGCTGGGGTCTTTTATAGGGGGAGGCTTCTGGGGGGTGCAGAAGGTGGGAAGATATATATATTTTTAAAGTTTGTGGGGTCGGGGGTAGCGGGAGAATGGGACTGTTAAAACCAGCTCCCTTCTGTCTGTCAGCCAGGATCTGGGTCAGGAAGGGTTTGTTTTGTCCTTTTGTCCTCTTAAGATAAGGGAAAAATTGCTGGGCTGAAGCTGCTCCTGAAGTCTGTGGTTAAAAGGTGGAATTTTGTCTTGGGAGATCAAAGGAAAAGCAAGCTGTCTTTTAGAAGAGTCTACTTCTCTTGACTTTAAAGACCAGGGTGCTTATCAACTCGGTTCCCTTTTCTCAGGGGGCTTGTGAGGTCTGTGAGGCCCTGTTGGTAAGGGGGTGGGACTATCTGAATCTTAACACCATACACATCGTGAAGTTGTGTAAACTACGTACACCAGAGATGCTTCGCATTTTGAGATAGTAACCGTGGGAACGTGTTAACAGATCCAAGTAGGTGTGATTTGCCCGAAGACACTAAGCTCAGGGGCCGGACAGATGGCTCATGGGTGAGATGGCTTGCTGTGTAAGCTTGAAGACCTCACTTTGAATCCCTAGAAGCACTTCCACTAGCTACACCATAGTTCCAGTGATCCTGTGGAAATGGGAGGCTGAGACAGGACAATCCCAGAAAAGTGTAGGCCTGGGAGAAGTGTGAGGGCCCATCTCAAACCAGGCCAGAAGGGGGCACCAGCATCTGGAGTTGTCCTCAAACCTCACATACATGTGATGCCATGTGCTTGCACATACACATGTGGATCCACATCACACAAACATATATGCTATACATATGTGCACACAGTGATTTAAAAAAAGATATTAAGTTTGGCAAATGGTACAGCCTAGTGCTGTCCAGCAGAAATATGTGATTAAAATTTTTCTCATAGTTCCAGTAAAAAGAAAAGAAATAGCTGGAATTCATGTTTTTGTTTTGAGACAGGGTCTTAATATGTAGCCCTGGCTGGCATGAACTCACTGTATAGAACAGGCTGTCCTCAAACTCAGAGATCTGCCTGCCTCTGCCACTCAAGTGCTGGGATTGAAGGTGTGCTGTCATCACTCCCAGCTTGAAATGAACTTTTAAACAACAGCTCTATTGAGATGCAATTCAGATGCATGAAGTCACCGTTTTGTAAGGCCTTCTTGAGTGTTTCCATGTGTTCTCAGAGAAGGCCGTGTCCTCATGATCAAAGTCTGGAGAGACCCCAGAGCACTTGCTTCCCATATTCCCTCCCCCAGACCCTGGTGACTACTAGGCGACTTCCTGTGGATTTGTGTATTCCAGGCAGTATCTTCAAGTTTTATGCAGGCAGCATGTAGGTGAAAGTAATTTGAACCACTTTTTTTTTTTGAGTCTCTTAGGTCGCCTAGTCTGTCCTTGAACTTGTTATGTAGCTAATGCTGATCTTGAACTCTTAATCTTCCTGCCTCTGATGCCCATGCTGGGATTACAGGTGTGTGCCACTGTACCTAGTTTAGCTTTAGCAACTTTTAAGCTAATTTAGTATATACAGACTATTATATATATTAATATAAATACAACATTTATGAATGAGATATTTCCGATTTTTTATTTTATGCTAAAGCTCATTTTACTTATGGCTCTTTGAATCTTCCCACACTAAGTGTTCCATAGCCACAGGCAACTAGGGACCACATTAGAGAGCATGGTGTGAGGAGGACTCTTGGCTTTAGTTCGGAGCTCTTTTCGTGACATTATTCAGCACAGGTTTGTGAAGTTTATATTGTAAGTGGTCCAGATAGGAATAAGGGAGGAATTTTTCAAGAAATATGTTGAAATCCAGAAGGAATTGCCCTGCCCAAGCTTCCTCCAAGCTGTTTAACTTCCCTAAACTTTGATTAGGAGTGGGAGATGCAGTTTCTTCAGAGAGTTTGGGTCTGGCCCTGCCATCCTGTGTAGTTCAGTTGCTGGCCCGTGGGGTGTGATTTGGGGGCAGTGGTTCCCAGTATGCACACAAGTCTGGTTCTACAGAGCCCTAGGTCCCAGCTGTAGAAGGTGTTGTAACTCCCAGTTGCAAATAGGTGGCCTCGTAAGAACCTACATATAAGTTATAATTAATTTAGCCTAATTATAATTCACATAATTAAGGAAGATAGGAAGGAACAATACTAAAATATATTGGATGATAGAATCAGGAACTAGAAATCTTTAGATGGGCTGTATCCTATATAGCAATGGAAAGAATGTACCAGAGTGAGAAACCCTTCATTTATTTAATGACAGCTGTACTGTGTGGGCACCATTCCTAGGTGGTCAGGACATAGGTGGTTAAGACCTGCCTTAGCACCTGAGGGATTTATAATTTAGTGGTACATATTCTTGAATGTGGTGTCCTGTTCAAATCATGACAGATGCTCATAATCACGGGAAGGAGGTGTGAACTCATCTAGGGGAGGGAAGGCCTTAGAGTTGAGTCGAGGTTTCCTTGGCTTGGGATACAGAGCGGTACCAAAGAGGACCCTTCTAGGCCAAAGGAATAGTGCGGCACACGCTCGGAAGCATAGACAAGAGGCTTCGGGTGCTGCCAGTAGTTTAGCCCTGTTGGATTATAAGGGAGAGTTGGAAGTACCAGGGTGGGGTGGGTGGGGTTGGAGAGTTAGGATCCTAGACTGTGGCACAAGGTAAGAACACACAGAGGCCGTCCTGGCCCTTCGTTATTTTTAGAAACAAGAAAGAAAGGAAGGAAGTTTAAAGGACCATATACTCAAATTGAACCAGCAGTCAGATTTGATTTTTTCCAGAGGCTGATGTGACTGGAGAGTCCAGTCTCTAGAAGGGAAGCCAGAGTTCTGTGCTTGGTGCTGGTCAGGCTGCATCTGGTAGGCTGTGTTCTCCTGTGGCCTGCTGCATAGGCATAAAGGTCAATAAGACTCACTGCCTTTATTTGCACTGTTCCTTTAAGAGAGATCAAGAGCTAGGGATATAGCTGGGTTGAAAGAATACTGGTCCAGCATGTGCAAAGCCCTGGGTTTGATCTCTAATCCCAGCACTGGGGAGTAAAGGCAGGAGAATTAGAAGTCGAAGGTCATCCTTGGCTACTTAGTTGAGTTTGAAGCCAGCTTGGTATACAGGAGACCGTGGAGAGGCAGGAGGGAGGGGGAGAGGAAGGGAGAGAGAATATGAATGAATGAATGGCTATCCAGAGCACACTCAGAATACTCAGGAGGGAAACCAGGAGGGAGAGGGAATTCTAATAGAGACGCAGTAGTGGCTAGTGGGACTGGGATGTTTGTCTACAGAGATGGGCATTAGTTACCTATTGCAGTGTAACAGTAGCTTAAAGCTGGAAGCAGAGCCCATCATTTCAAGGGTCAGGAATGGGGCCTCTGAGCTGGCCTTTCATGAGGAAGAGACTTAGCTGGAGCAGCATGAAGCCTCTGCAGACTCCATGGGGGTGTAGATCTTTTGCTAAGCTCTTTTGTGGCTTGTGGCTTCTGGAGGGAGGCAGAGTTCCTTACTATGTGGCCTCTCTGTAGGACCCTTCAGACCTGGCAAGCTGGCTTTCCCAAAAGTGTTTTGAGAAAGGAAAATGCCAGGCAGGAAAGCTCAGCCTTCTGTCACCTCACCTCTGACTCACTGGTTGCTTCCTTGTTCTTTTCATCAGAAGTGTGTCACTAAGTCCAGCCCACAGAGGGGAGGGGAGTTAAGCTCTGCATCTTGAAGGGAGTAGTATCAAAGAATTTAAGGACCTATTTTTAAACCGCCGCAAGATGTCTTAGAGAGGACATGACAGCTGTCTTCAAATATTTGGAAAGCTGTGTCAGGAGCTGCAGTAGCTGGGTTTGGCTCACCTAAAGAGAGATGGGAATGTGCCAGGATGCAGGTATCCGGGAGGTGCTGATCCCTGTGCTACTGCAGGTGGGGCTAGGCAGGGGCTGGGTGACCACTTAGGGAAGAGCTTTTAACACTGGGTAGGGATTGGATCAGACCTGGGAAAACTCCCCTGGCTGAATGATGGCTACTGGAGTGCGGCCATGCTCACTCATCATGTAGCTGTTTGATGTTAGGGTGGCAGAGCTGAGCTGTGTGGTGGGAACCATGTGATATTTGGCTGGAGTGGATGACCTTGAAGGTCCCTCCTAGTCCTGAGAGACAGAGGTTAAAAAGTCAATTTTCAGGACTAGGGGATGGCCCAGTGGGTAAGAGTGCTTGCTATGCACTTGAGGACTTGGGTTTGATGCTTCAGAACTTGTAAAAAAAAGCTGGGCATGACTGTGCACCTGTAATCCCAGCACTGAAGGGGTGGGGACAGGCAGGTCTGAAGAGCTTGATGGCCACCCTGCCTACCTGAGCAAGAGCTTCAGGTTCAGTGAGACCCTGCCTCAAGGCTAAAGGAGGGGAGTGGTCACAGGAGACACCCACCATCTTTCTTTGGCCTGCATGAGTTACCACATACTCAAGTGCATGCACACACACATATACACACACCACACATACACATATATACATATACATACATATACACATATACAATACATACACACCACACATACCACACATATACATGGGCACATACATATAGATACGTACACATGCTGACACAAATACACATACATACCACACATGCCCATGCACACACATACACATAGATACATACACATACACTTGGACACATGCAGACAGCATACACATACACACCACAAACCTGCACACATGCACACATACCATACATGTGCATACACACCACACACATACCTGCATACATGCACACATACACATGCATACGTGTCCTATATAGCTTTAGTTGTCAACTTGACACACATGGGTGAAGGAATCACAATTGAAGAATTGCCTCCATTGGACTGGCCTGTGGCCATGTCTGTGGAGCATTTACTTGCTTGTTGAGTGAGGTGGGAGGGGCTTGGGAGGGCCCAGCCCTCTGGGCGGTGCCACCCTGGGTGGGTTGTTCTGTATTGTATAAGAAAGCAGGCTGAGCACAGGACAGGGGAGCAAGCCAGTAAGCAGTGTTCCTCCATGGCCTGTGCTCCAGCCCCTGCCTCCAGGTTCCTGCCCTGAGTTCCCACCTTGGGCTCCCTCAGTGATGGACTGTGACCCGGGAGACGTAAGATAAAATAAACCCTTTTCTCCTCAAGTTGGTTTTGGTCAGTGTTTTAATTACAGCAACAGAAAGCAAACTAGGACAGCACACATACATAGACATGCACACATACATACCACACACATACACAAACACACATGCATATACACATACCACACACAGGATATTTTTGGTCTAGGGATATGTATAGGTATATTTACGGGTGAAATGCTGGGTGGGTGCTTTAACCACTCAGCCATACTGAGGACCCGGCTGCATTGCGTTCAGACATGAGTTAGGTACAGTTTTGCAGGTGGATGATGATGAGACTAAATCCTGTTCTTTCTTTGGACAGGTACTGAGAGAGCAAGTTGTTTGTGTGGCGGCTGGGCTGCGGCATGCCTTAGCCACTACAGGTGAGCATTTGAATTTTATTTCCTAAGTGGCCCCATCTTAAGGAGGTCACAACTTTAGGAGAAAAAAATTTTAAAGAGTATTTTAAAATTTATTTTTATTTTATATGTATGAATGTATTGCCTGCATGTATGTAAGTGCACCCATGTTGTGCAGTGACCACGGAGGCCAGGAGAGGGTGTTGAATCCCCTGGAACTGGAGTTACGGATGGTTGATAGTCACCACGTGGAGGCTGGGAATCAAACCCAGGTCTTCTGCAAGAGCAGCCAGTGTTCTTAACTGGTGAGCCATCTCTCCAGCCTCTTAAAGAGTATTTGAGAGGATCCTGCTGTGTTGTAGTTCCGAGTCACCTGAGTCTTTGACCGGAGGGAGGAAGCCGGCTCTTTTTGTTTACATATAGTGCTGGATTTTCATAATTTGATTCTCTCATTTAGTCCTCATGGTCAAGAAGTGATGGGAGGCAAATTTTTACCCGTCAGGAGTCTGTGAAAATGCTTGTGAGTGAGGTAGAAGAGAGCGAGCAGCTGTCAATCTGGACTTTGCAGTGAACTGTGTTACCTTCCCAGTGGATTGTAATGCCTGTTGACTTAAAAGCCTCAAATGAGCTGTGTTTTGTACTGTGAACAGACCAGCACTTTGTATATGGGGAGGAGAGGGCAGTGGCATTAAGGTAAATAAGACTCTGACCCTCGTTTGAGGGTCCTGAAGTTTAGAAAACAATGATGGATAATATATAGTTCTTTTAAAAAGAGGAGTTGGGGAGATGAGTCAGTAAAATGTTTGCTTTGAAAGCACAAGGATCTGAGTTCAAGTCCCCAGGACCCATGTGTAAGTTGGGTGTGATGGTGTGCACCTGTAATCCTGTAATCTCAGCAGTGTCAAGGTGGGAAGTGGAGGTAGGCGGATCCCTGGATCTCACTGGTTAGCTCGCCTGCTTGGCCAAGCTCCAGACCAATGAAAGC